CTAAGTAGGCCACTGCGAGCATGGCAAGTACAAGTCCGAAGGAAGGAAGGGACCAGGCACCCTCTCAGTCACAAGCCAGTCCTCATGACATCAATCAATTTTTTTTGTGCACTACTAGAATGAATGGACCAAAATATTAAATTTTCATTGAGAATGATTATAAATACAAAACGACCACTTTTCGCATAACAGGGTGTCGTCATGCACCTACGACGCCTAGCCATAAAATGACGGAACAGGGCCCTGCTGCGCTGTGCAAGTAGGAAGTCTGAATGTACAAAGAGGTCAGTGACGTCAGTGATTGTAGGCAATGATGATGAGCTTTGGCGTGCCAATCAACAGTGCCATTGGGTTCCCTTGTCATTCTGGGTGAAGAGTAGGTGGCAGCGGTGGCAAGCGTAGTGGACAGTGGAGAGGGTGTGGTGTTAATGAATGGACGCGAGACTGAGGAGAGGATATGGCGAACATAGAGCCTGTCTTCGGTTTGCACATTCTAAATATGAATGAGCACGAGATCGAAAGGAAGTATGAAGCTGACGCACTCGACCAACGATGCTTCCGACACTTGTTCTCCCTCCTGCACTATCGTTCGTCCACACATTGCATATCAACGGAACACGACATTCAACAACATAATAGATGCACCCAGTGCAATGAGGTCAGAAGAAAATGAGGCAGGGTGACGAGGTGATAGATACCATCTTGAAGCTTGAGCTATCATTTCCTCTTCTGATGCGCTTGCCAGTGTCATTGATAGGCAAACACGGCATCATGAGTGGTCGCCGGCCACCCTTACACGGCTCTTACACCTCATATACCCTCTTGGCATCCTCCTTTGCCATCCAACACTCTCCTTATCCCATCCATTGCCCAAGATGCCCGTGACGAATTCTGCTGTCCAGGACATCATCAGTGAATGTGATGGAAGTCTTCGGCTAATGTGCCAAACACGTTCACTGGGACCATGTAGGGCATGTCAGTCTCTAGTAGAATCTGTTTGTTATCCCTGGCTGACATGTGCTTGAGCTCGGTGGTGTTGAGGTTGGATACGTAGCAGACAGCCGGTCACGCCGATGTGGAGATTGGGGAAGTAGTTAAGAAGGCGAAGGTCGAATATGGCTGTGTCAGCGAAGCAGTGAATGTGGAGCTGAAGATAAATGTGAAGAATCGTAGGTGGGAGATGCGAGGGCAGGAAACAAGGCATAGCATGGAGCGGAAATGGAAGTTTCAGACAAAAGTGTGCCGAGCCTCTCTTTCACTTGAAGAGCCATCGTCACTTGAATCCCTTTAACCAATGTGAAAATATCTCCCGGGTAGTGTAACAAGCCTGCAGCTGAATTTTAGTAACGAGAAGGTGACAAAAAGCAATCGGTGGAAACGATGGAGAGTATTTAGGGTACGTCAGATTTGACCCTCTTTGTGGTTCATGATCTCAACCAGGCTTTCAGGTTCTCTGGCTGCTGCCATCTCAAACTCGTTGACTGCCTCTAAGTTGAGCTCGTAGACAATAAAGTATTCACATCCCAGAACTTTGACTGCAACGTTCATGGGCCTCCAGAAGCACATCATGAGAGTGCAACAGGATCTTGCTGCTATAGAAGTAGCCTGAGTAAACCCTGAGCTGCCGGCCATAGAGGTGAAGTGAGCACTGCAAGTAAGAGTAAAAGAAAGGAAGGTAGTATGGCTGCTACGGCAGGTGGACTCACTGTTTGGCTGCAGATTGTTTGGCACCAGTCTCGTCTACCCACTGCTGGTGCCACCTTGCTTCCTCACTCAGTACTTGGGTCGCTTCATGGCTCCACGGGGTTTACCCTGGGAACCTGGTTCGCCATTCTCTAAAGATCAATCTACAGCTAACTCTCTCTGACTACGGCTATTCTTTGCAAAATGAGAGCGTCTTGGGCATGCGCAGCGGGCGACCCTGCCTAGAGCACCCTACAAATCTGCATCATATGTGAGTCCTCACGCTCGCTATCTCGATAATGGAGCCGACAACTGAGGGGACCTTCCAGATGTAGACGAGGATGATGTTGGAGATATCATGGAGGCTTTCGAGTCAGAAAAAGACTTAGTGTTATAAAGGTACGTCAGTATTACTGCTTGATCTCGCCATTACCGTTTTATTCATGCTGACAAATTCAAGCAGCAGCATTGATGACGACCGGGTGGGTAGACATGAAGAATTTTGACCTTCGAACGACCAGTTGGAACAATGTGTGCAGCTTTTTTTTTGTGTCGGACATCGCTTAATGGGAAACAGATCGCCTTAAGGATGTGCATACACTGGTGATTATCTTGGACTTAGTTCTGCAATAATCCGCTAGAGATGCGGGCTTCAGATGGCAATTTCCAGTATGTACTGTGGACACGTTCTCATCCGCAACCTGATAAATAATCCTCGCATCAGGTACTTCGGTTGGATGTGACGTGCGAATTATCCATTATTTTGGCTACAATCTGGTCTTAGTGATCACTTGAAAACGTCCTCAACCGCATAACAAAGGATGAACAGTATCAACAGTTCAGCCTGAATTTCCTTACTGTGTCATTTTTATCCTCAAGCTGGTAATCAGAACATCACCTTCTCCCAGACATAACACAACGAGGCCAGCATTAGTCAAGAAGTTTGTTCTCGGAAGGCTTGCAGAATAATTAGTAAACCCGCCTCTTACACCTTGTCTCATCCACATTGACATTTTGATCATTTTGCGGGTTACATCTGTTGCTTGATGCAGCTCTGTGTGACAACTATATATAGTTACCATGGTGACCCTCAGCTATCGCATATTTTCCTCGATGTGTTCGTCTCAGCAGCATTACAACTGCTCCTCGTCGTACCTCAGAGTCGACCGTACCACCAAGTCCATAAAGCAGCCAATTGGTGCGTGTTTCTTCATTATTTTATGTACATGACTTTGAACTCATCACATACAGACACCAATCAGCTGGAGACAAGGTATGTCATGCCTTCTTCGCTCATCTCGCTCTTGTTTATTTCCTCTAGGAATTGAGTACTGTAGGACCTTCAAATATATGGCTATGAACAAATTTATGCGATATTTATGTATTCTCTACAGTCAGGAAATCACGACATTGATATTGACAATACGGATGGTGATAATCCCTTTAATGGAGCCAATGATATTCCTGAGGAGCAGCCTGACAGAGATGCGGTTGGAAGTGACGACACTGAACAGATGTGCGTAGATCTGTGTCTGGTAGCGACAATGAGAGAAATGCTGATCCCACATGGTCATTGTTCAATTCTGCGCTGGAGATTAGCCTGGACAACCTTCGGGAGTGCCAGGAAATCCTTGATTTTATCAAATCTGCATCCCTGGGTGATAGCTAGTGTGGTATGTTGGCAGACGACATCAAGAGTTTGTCAGAACCTACAATGGAACATCTTCTGAGTTGACTGCTGCCTCATCAGTTCCCGCTGAAGAACCGCATGTCAAAGCATCCTATAGAATGGCGATGGTCCATGAGACCTTGTTGCCAGCTGATTCCTCTCAGGTTTTGACTCGCTCTGACAAACCAAGGCAAAGAACTGCAACACACTGAAGATGGTCGAGTTCTGTCATGTGAAAGTCGAGCTGGTGTACTTATGCAATTGTCGTGCTTTATTTGGGACATGCTATAAAATTTGCATACGGCTGTTTCGTTCATACCTATTGTATGGAACCTGCATTAAAGAGCATATCTCACCAACTTTTGGGGCTTCAGAATAAGAGAAATGAGTAGAGAATCATTCCGCTCACCACGGTCCGATCAACCTAGCACTGATCGCTGTACCGGTCCTTTCTTGATCAGTGATCACCTTCAATGATGCTTACCACCATCCGCTCCCCAATACCTGTTCCGTGGGCATGAAAAGGTGTATATTTTATCATTCATTTACTTTAACTTCTTTTAGGACCATTCTACGCATCTGACGGCCCCAAGAGCCCCGGATAACGTTCATTTCATCCTCCTCACCCCCTCCAACAAGGCAACGCCGTGCACAGTCACAGTCTACCAACAATGCATCATCTGCCTTCGACAGCGGCGATGCTGACACACAACAACGCCCGCCAATGCCGCAAATACACCCCCCATCCCCATTCCGACCCACTCAGCAGCCAAAATCTGAAGAGGAACCTGACATCACATTGATCGTGCAAAGAAGTGATGGGGGACATGCATTCCGACAACACAGCTGTTTATGTCCAGACCCAGATTCTGGTACCGGTGCCACAGAGGTTCGTCAAACCAGCCATCTTCTGTCGTGTAGATGCTAACTGCTTCCCCAGATCGAAGTGTGGTGGTTCTTCAAGGTCTGCCTCTCGTACCTGCCTGTTCTCAATGACCTTTAGAACATCCAAGAGCACTATCATTGGAGCCTAATTCGTTCCAACACCTGACTTTGTCCAGGTTACCGATCTTTATCATTTGTGGAGGTCTTCTCTAAGGGTGCTTTTTTTGCCGGCATGGAAGATCTGACGAAGCTCAAGATCATTACTAGCGATGTGGGAGGAAAGCTTGTTAGCGCTAATGGGAATAGTTAGGGGTTCATGTTTTTAACAGATATCGTAAACTGACTGCATCGAACTCCAGGGTGTCTTCTCTGCTGCTTTCAGGAAGCTCGGGCAGGTGTTTGAATGGGGAGTGAGTGGAGCATGATCAAGGCATGTCCTGAACTGCAAGGAAGCATAATGTTCATTAATATGACTGCAGGATGGAGCCAAAATTCTTGGGTCCACACGAAGGTTTAGGGTTCTGGATTCCTTCGAACGTGGTTTTAGTAGTACTAGCGATCTTCGCAACTGTCGGATGCCAGGCCTGTACTAGCACTTGTATCCTTCATGTGATCATCTGCGGATGCACCAACACCCATTGAGTCAATCATACTCATTGCGTTGCACGAGTTGTGGTGTGTTGATGCTGGTGGCGAACACGAGTACTTGTATTATATACAGGTTTTTTTGTACAAAAAATAATGCATCGGACATTGACAGAGTATTCTAGTCTCAGAATCTACAGTCTACTAACTATAAGGTGTGTATCTCACCAGCACATTGGGAACTGAAGGAGCAGGCATGGATTGTTGTCTCCGAACCGAGAAGGTGCTGTCATAGTATACTCAGCATCAGCGATACTAGTACCATCGGAGCTCGCATCAGCACAGATTTTAAAAGGAGTCTTTCGACAGACCCACCGAAAGGACGTCGTCACTAGCGAAGTGGAGAGGGTGCTCTTCAGCGATGAAGCTAAGGCCTTAATATCAGAGTCTGCTGGAGGTCGCCGTCGACGTATTATTTCGTAGCGGACCGGAAAACCGTAGCCTCCTCGATGAAGGACTACAGCACCTGGACATGCACTGTATAATAAGAGTCTGCCTGATGCTTCGGGTCCGCCAACAGCACCGACTCCTCTGCTCAGTCATCTCCTCTGACCAGACACTAGCAATCCATCCATCCTCGCTGCAGCCAAATACATCAAGACAGTGTATTTGCAGAACTGAGAGGCCTAGGCAGGATCCTCTGACATGTTAGACACCGCTAAGGAACTCTTCCTTGCTAGCGAACGTACACATGATGATGAAGATTTCTTGCCATTCCTGAAGATCCGAGTCGGAGGTTAGTTTTTGGAACGATATCCGACCAGTTGTTGGCGACAATGGACTAGAAGAGTCGGGATAAGGATAGGTGTTGGTACAATGTTCAAAGTACATCTTTTGGGTCTGTTGCAAAAGCTTGGGACCTCCTCTCGCTGCAGGAAGGATAGCATCTGGGAACCGGTATGACAAGAGAGGATTGATCAGGTTATGGAAAGCGCCGCCTTTCTGGAACAATGATCATCTGTAGTACAAGCGACGTCGACTATGGTCACACGGTGTCAGATAGATTTACTCATAAAGCATCACAGACATAAGACTGGTATGAGAACAAAGAAATCGCTCATTTCTTTGTCCTATCCTGTTTCGTCCCCCATGGCCCCAGGGCGGTCTCTTGTGCAACCGTTTGCTATTGTTATACATATCTCCACCAAGAGCATCTGGACCAGAAATTCGACAATGCAGGTAGTCTGTGCACGTGGCCAGGGATTTCATAAAATCCCAATGCGGATGGAAGCTGGCACCATTTGTTCGTAATACTGGCGAGTGACTCTCGAGTACAACAATGGGCCTATAGAGGCCGATAAATCACTGGATGCACTCGCAGCAGGAAAGGTGGAGGCTCCAGGAGGGGATCGCGGTGCAGGGAAGATAGGGAGTTTTTGCACATAAAAATGTGACTGAATTAATGCATTTTATTGCCGAATTCATGAACGAGAGATTTCGGGAGAGGGAAATAAATATATGTCCTAGAGCAACATAGACAAGTTTGGTAGCAACTCTCGATAGACGCCAGAATGCCGTCGTCCCGCAAACAAATGTCTCCCAAAACCAGAGTGAGTTCCATTGACCTGCATACCACATTCACCACTACCACTACAATACGCGCCTAGGATCGATACCTGATGATCTGAGCAAGGATTTACTCGACTTCAAACCCAGGGGGAGCTTTTGTTCCTGTGCTCACGCACATCCGGTCCAACAACCGCTTCCCATTCATTGAGGGTGTATTCTCTGGGATGGATATGCAGCCCTTCATCCATGATAAGGTCATCGAGGTTTCAGAGGGACACCGGCTCCACCGATTTCACGTCTTCTTGAAAAACCATTGCCATCTTCCCACCATGGACATCGGTGGAAAAAGCTGGCACGGCGATATCGTTGTGATGCGCATAGGTGTTGCTGAGGGTATGTATGTATCAAACATGCAGTCAAAGAACAGATACCTGTCAGATTGGATGATAAAGAAGTAAGTTTTGCTGATTCCATTGTCAAGAGAGTGGGCATGGGGACTCACATATGATGCAGATTTGTAGGGTGCTCTAGGCAGGGTCGCCCACTGCGCATGCCCAAGACACTCTCATTTTGCAAAGAATAGCCGTAGTCAGAGAGAGTTAGCTGTAGATTGATCTTTAGAGAATGGCGAACCAGGTTCCCAGGATAAACCCCGTGGAGCCATGAAGCGACCCAAGTACTGAGTGAGGAAGCAAGGTGGCACCAGCAGTGGGTAGACGAGACTGGTGCCAAACAATCTGCAGCCAAACAGTGAGTCCGCCTGCCATAGCAGCCGTACTACCTTCCTTTCTTTTACTCTTACTTGCAGCACTCACTTCACCTCTATGGCCGGCAGCTCAGGGTTTACCCAGGCTACCTCTATGGCAGCAGGATTCAATTAAACTTTCATGGATTTATCCTAGGAGCTGGACCAACGTTTTTTTTATCATCCGTTTCTGGTACACATCCCTACTACGGGAACTCGTTACCCGATGTCAAGCTTAAATCTCATCTGAATCCATGATCTCGTCGTCGTTGTCTTCATCAGTGCTCTGCAGTCAAGATTGTTAACACAAGTGGAAGATTTGAAGGGAAGCATGAACCTGCTGATGCATGCCACTACCGCTGGCGATTGCAGGGGTTGCTGCTGCTGCATGCGCCCTTTCCGACGTGTACTTGAGCCTCAGTTTGATGAGGTCGTTGATGGGCCACATCGCTTTGTACTTGCAGAGGATGGGGAATGCAATGGTGGCCTGAGGAACATCAGTAGTGGCAGCATCAGATAGTGATTGTTTACGGACAGCCCGGTGGATGCTGTTGATCTCGCGGTGGTGTCTGTTCTTGTTTGATGCGAATGAGACGGTCATGTCAAGGCTATCCTCGACCTTCTTGTTCACGAAATTCTTTGCAATCAAGTAAGTTTTCATTTGCTTGTAAGGCTGCAGTAGAACTTACCCGAATATTATCCAGTTCGTCGTCGAGCCGGAGGTCGGCCAAGGAATATGCTTTGTGGATTTCTCCCTTTGGTTTTGGGATCTTTCCATCAGCATTGGCACGGATGGCGATGATGGGTTGGGATGAAAGGATCTGTCTCGGCGCCGCTGTTTCTGAGGTGGTGGGTTCTCTTTGATGCTCTCCTTGAAAGTATCCAAATACAACATCCCAGCCCATCCACTGGGTGATTGGAACGCCGCTTGCGGTGAACGGCGAGAAAGAAGATCTTTGGGTGATTGCTGGTGGGGGGATTCTGACTCGAGTGCGCATCGCTGTAGGAGATCTGTATGGAAATGAAACATGATAGTATTCCGCCTCTTATGCTCTTGTCCGAATCCAATCCTCTTGACGAGGAAACCCGTATAATCGACCACCTCTTCATCCGCCTTGGGAGGCACTCATTTCCTTTTCCCCATCCAGCCTCCCTCGTTTGCTTTTACCTGCTGACAACCTTCATCCTGTTTGGTTTGCCCTTATTTTTCGGGTGATACGCCCAATCACGAGATATTTATGCTTTATTTATTATTTTCCCCCATGCACACAGTCGTTTGACCCTGACCTACACCCAGAACTTCTAATTCCTCTCTGTCTGAGTGTGTCTCATGCACCCTGTTAATGCCTTTATTCATTGTTCCTTCACGCTATATGACCTTGTGCAGCCTCGCAAGGACAACAATGTGACCCTCCGTGACAAATGTATTTGGAGGATAATACCCCCTCGATGATTTCTGACCCGACATCTTCTGTCGTGTTTGCCTTCAATGTGATAGGAACCCATACAATGCACCCTGCAATGGCCTCATTGTTCATTCAAGACACAAGACCTGGTTCATCGTTGGATTGGTACACAATAAACCTCACCTTCAAGGCGAAGACAATTAGTGAATGAAGTACTTATGTCAGGGAATATCCTTGAGTCACATCAATCAAACAAACTCCCACATCCTTTTCTGCATTGCATTCACTGCAACTGGAGCTCTCATGTATGCAACCGCAATGTTTAAGCTATTCCTTGGGCTTTGCTTTCGCCGACAGGACATAGGTTATGTCTCAAGGTGTTCTATATATCATCCTTAATTTCACACAGAGATATCACCTTGTTGCCCGTTTGCATGGGCACCGAGGGGCCATCAACACGCTCGCCTTCACGCCAAATGGGCAAATCCTTGCTAGTGGGAGTATGCACTTTCATTACCCACACTTCGAAGATGCTAATGTTACATAACAAGGTGATGATGAAACCGTGAAACTCTGGTCGACGGAGAAAGCTATATGCTTGCAGACCTTGGTAAACGAAGGGCAAGGCTGGGGTCAAATCACTGCAATGGCATTCATAGGCTCTGACGGAGAGTGGTTAATCTTCGGTGCTGGTCGGGGTCTTGTATGCATCTATGGGAGAGCCCCAGGCGGGGTATGTCACTCCCTTGCTGCAAATTTGAAGAAACTCAAGGAAATTTGTAGCTCTACCGTGAAATGGCCGCTGTTCCGGGTACCTCTGCCTCCAGTGACCCTGTTGAATCGCTGGCGACCACGCAATGCAGAGGCTTGCGGTGACCAGCCACTTCGGTGAAATCTGAGCCTACCGCATTGAATTACAAAGTCATTACATCATAGGGTTTGGAGAATATTCACTTATTAGTCCTATGCAGATTTCAAGGCTACCTTCCGTCAGGAATGGTCGCGGAACAACGTGGCGATGATTCCCCGCTCATCGGCATTTGTTAATCTAGGAAGAGACCTTTTAATCTTTGGTCTAAATACAGGAGATGTGTATGCGACAAGGCCCACTTCGATAAAACCAAACTAATCCAAGTTTTTAGTACAACATTATCCTCCGGCAAAGGAGAGATGGTGTCAAGGCACCAATTAGACTGCCCAATGTGAGCCTGAATTTGTTGCAACCCTCTGGAAGTTTCTGACGTAGTGATACCAGAGGCTCTGCAGTCATCAACAGCACAGCAACGCTCTTTCTTCTGCACAATATAGGCACAGGATTCGCCCTCTACAACCTCGCCACTGCATCCTTGGTGCAGACAATACCTGTCAATTCCGCTATGCCCATTGTGACTGATATCAAGTTTGGCGAAAACAGCGCCATAGCCACTGCAGGCGGTGCGGCAAGCAAAGCCTATGTTATACACTTGGAAAGCGGCCGCATTGTCCAACGACTTAACCATGGCAGAGGTGTTCTTCCATTACATGATATCTTGCTTTCAAGACTGACTGTATGAAATCAGGGCCAGTTCAAGCCCTGGATGTAAGTTTTTACCTCCGCCTTCAATGCAGCACTCTATATCTCTGTTTCAGACAGCGTGCATGGGAGACTGCCATCTCATTGTCTGTGGGTCATCCGATGATTTCCCAGACATAACACTATGGGCAAAACCTGTAGGTCTATTGTTGTTACTTGCACGTGGAGGTTACATGATTTCCAGATGAAGCTGTCTATGCACCGCCGCTGGGCCGGTTCTGTATTTGAAAACCCGCTCCTCTGGCTTTGCATCTTTGTCCTCTTTGTCCTCGCGTATCAAATGCGCGGGGCATGGGCATTGTTTCTCAATAAGGTGAGGGTCAAGATGCAGGAGAAAGTGATTGGTACTAATCTTTCCAAGGAAACAACATTTGTAGTGCGCAAGGTCGACATCTCTGATCAAGCCACTCATAAGGATGTCCAAGGGTCATCTGTTCCTGGCATTCTTTACGATGATGACCTCTTCCAAGAGGGCGATGAGCCGTTCCACTTCAAGAAATGGATCTTGAAGGGGCGGGCCCTGGAAAGTCAATGGAAGGCAAGATCTGTTGGAGTTGTGGAGGAAGGCGAGGATGGTATTCCTCCGAACATCATCGAGTGGGCCAGAAAGGTGGGGGGGAGGAAGGCACAGGTCAAAAAGGTGGGCAATGATGGAGTGGCTGAAGTTCAAGAGCGAGTTGTCGATGTAATTTGGTTGTAGGTGACCGTTCATCATAATCTGGAATTACCGCAAATCCTGGCTGTGGGCATAAAACAATTATTGTACATATTAGATTACCTTGCTGGTAACCAAGGTCTACTGTCTGCCCGACCCGAAACTTCCCAGCTATATTTACTCCCGAAATCTGCTAATTGCAAATGTTCATTTGTATCTGTTTGTTCACCTCGTCAACTCCCTCTTTTCCTGCTCGAAATCTGCCAATATGAAATTCTTATTTGAACCATCCCCACTTCCATCTCAGGCCATTCACAAAACTTTCCGGCACGTCCTGTGGGTACTGGCTGCAAACGATGGAACACCACCACCAATGTTATAAGATATCAAAACACACAATATACCTGGAGGATAGCCGCCTATACCACGATATCAATGAGCAGTTTGTGTAGACTAAATAAAGGGCTTTGGCAGCTCCTCGGGTGGCTTACTACCTTCAAGAAATATAAATATGTGTCTCCTTCGTCTTCTCAACTCCCATTGCGTCAATTTGGACCTAGGTTAGCCTCGGTCCTGTTCCGTGTTCATCACCTTCTCATTTCTTCACTACAGATTGACAATTCTGCTTAAAACAGGGGCTTCTACTGTCTTCGCACCGCGCAAGTTGTTAGACTGTATCAACTATGTGAAGAATCAGATGTACACCTCTCAGGCCTTGTATGCTCGCATTTCCCAGTCTACTTGAGGCGCTCGATATTCCGGAGGAAGCCGATCCGGTAGCTACAAACAGCTACAGCCCCACCCTGTACATGTATGGAAAATCAGAGCGGATCACGATGAATACATTTCTCTTATCCTCGCACAACTGAAGAATCCCGGCTTCCCCATCAATAGCATGCAAATCTAGGACCAAAACTGGCTCGAGGCGAGGAACCCTCCCATCTTGATCACCACAGTCTCTTCATTTCCCAACATCTGCGTCCTGGATTTTCACAACGTCGAGTGCAGCAAAGATCAGTTTATCTCCATCCTTAGGTCTTACCCTGACCTTGCGAATCTGGAGACCCAGGATGTCAGTATTCGAGCATACGTGTTGGGCAGCAGCGCACATGCACTGTGCAGACTCAGTGGAAGCCACTTCCATTGGTGCCAGCCAGATTCACGATGCACAGCAGGAGTCGCATATTCAGCAAATCTCTATATATGTTAATACTACCACCGGATGTATTTTCCTCGCATCTTTTCACGAGTCGCTGCTCCCCAGTTACATCGCGCAACCTGACCAAGCTCACTCTCTGGCACCACTCAAATGTAATATGCAATAACAACCACTTCGTTCGCCGGGACTTTCCTGCTTTATCAGACTGTGTCCCAACCTCCAGGAGATTGACATGGGAGTCAACGGCAGTGACAATGGATGAAGATGCCGTACGAGCATGTATCCATAGTTATCACTTCGAAAGACAATATCGTCGTCATCAGATGTGGTATTTGCGTAGCACAGAGAACGACCTCGTCACTACGGTGGAAAAAGCTGGCACGGCGATATCGTTGTGATGTGCATAGGTGTTGCTGAGGGTATGTATGTATCAAACATGCAGTCAAAGAACAGATACCTGTCAGATTGGATGATAAAGAAGTAAGTTTTGCTGATTCCATTGTCAAGAGAGCGGGCGTGGGGACTCACGTATGATGCAGATTTGTAGGGTGCTCTAGGCAGGGTCACCCACTGCGCATGCCCAAGACGCTCTCATTTTGCAAAGAATAGCCGTAGTCAGAGAGAGTTAGCTGTAGATTGATCTTTAGAGAATGGCGAACCAGGTTCCCAGGGTAAACCCTGTGGAGCCATGAAGTGACCCAAGTACTGAGTGAGGAAGCAAGGTGGCACCAGCAGTGGGTAGACGAGACTGGTGCCAAACAATCTGCAGCCAAACAGTGAGTCCGCCTGCCGTAGCAGCCATACTACCTTCCTTTCTTTTACTCTTACTTGCAGTGCTCACTTCACCTCTATGGCCGGCAGCTCAGGGTTTACTCAGGCTACTTCTATAGCAGCAAGATCCTGTTGCACTCTCATGATGTGCTTCTGGAGGCCCATGAACGTTGCAGTCAAAGTTCTGGGATGTGAATACTTTATTGTCTACGAGCTCAACTTAGAGGCGGTCAACGAGTTTGAGATGGCAGCAGCCAGAGAACCTGAAAGCCTGGTTGAGATCATGAACCACAAAGAGGGTCAAATCTGACGTACCCTAAATACTCTCCATCGTTTCCACCGATTGCTTTTTGTCACCTTCTCGTTACTAAAATTCAGCTGCAGGCTTGTTACACTACCCGGGAGATATTTTCACATTGGTTAAAGGGATTCAAGTGACGATGGCTCTTCAAGTGAAAGAGAGGCTCGGCACACTTTTGTCTGAAACTTCCATTTCCGCTCCATGCTATGCCTTGTTTCCTGCCCTCGCATCTCCCACCTACGATTCTTCACATTTATCTTCAGCTCCACATTCACTGCTTCGCTGACACAGCCATATTCGACCTTCGCCTTCTTAACTACTTCCCCAATCTCCACATCGGCGTGACCGGCTGTCTGCTACGTATCCAACCTCAACACCACCGAGCTCAAGCACATGTCAGCCAGGGATAACAAACAGATTCTACTAGAGACTGACATGCCCTACATGGTCCCAGTGAACGTGTTTGGCACATTAGCCGAAGACTTCCATCACATTCACTGATGATGTCCTGGACAGCAGAATTCGTCACGGGCATCTTGGGCAATGGATGGGATAAGGAGAGTGTTGGATGGCAAAGGAGGATGCCAAGAGGGTATATGAGGTGTAAGAGCCGTGTAAGGGTGGCCGGCGACCACTCATGATGCCGTGTTTGCCTATCAATGACACTGGCAAGCGCATCAGAAGAGGAAATGATAGCTCAAGCTTCAAGATGGTATCTATCACCTCGTCACCCTGCCTCATTTTCTTCTGACCTCATTGCACTGGGTGCATCTATTATGTTGTTGAACGTCTGTTCCGTCGATAGAGGTGTTTACGAAAATTCATTTGACAATTTGGCGCCGAGCGCTGCCACCGAGAGACTCAAAAATCAGGCCGAGGCTGTAGCTCTCGCAGACAAAAAACGCATGGCTGAGATGGTACATCGGTCAAGTGAAAAAATCCAGCTCATAAGAGATACACACGCAATGAATCCATGAGCATTACTCAAACGCACTATATTTCAACAACGAGAATAATGTTCAGGGCTGAAACTGACACGTCAAGGATAGCCTCATTGACAAAAGATGAATACTCACCGTTCTGTTTGCCACCGACCACAATAAGAGTATCAAAGAGGTTCAACATCGAGTTGCCACTGGTACATTCCTGACTCCCAATGATTTCGGCCCAAAGGAACCTTGACGGAAATGGTTCGCGGAGCTGTAAACATTTCCTTGAACACGTTTCTGTCTGCTGGAAATCAGATTTTGGCAGGGAGAATTCTGTTTCTGGCTGGACAGAAACTGTATAAAGAGATTTTTTCAGTGCCACTACCCCTTTCCTCTGTGCAGAAACTCAGGCATGTCAGGAGTGGTACTGTCGACAGGATCTCCGGTTCATTTTTGCAGAATGATGCAGTCATCATCCTCATATGACTACCACATCGGTCCGTGGGCTCCGAATTACTTACGATAATCCACGACTCATGCTCTACGACAATGTTTAGTACATCTTATCCCTGACATTGCTGGATTTGTCGGTTTGGGTCTGCGGCAGAACATGCAGTTGATATAGTGGTGTATCCTGCATTGCCCAATGGTGGGATCGGTGCATATCACTATGTTTACTCACCTCAGACTTTAGCTTACTGCCCTATGTCCGTAGCGTCCTCTAAGGCCCAATAAGGTCAATACTCGTCGACTTCAATGGTGACAATGTGCAAGGTTCCTAGCAGAGTTGGGAGCCTTCACAAAGACTGGGAATCCGAGGCGAGAAGTGGGAATGCCGCTATGGGAAGAAGAACCAGAGCTGCATGAACAAGAAGGACAAGAAGACGATGGATAGAACTGTCAAAGCGTCACCTGAGCCTGTGACAGGCCATCCCCCCTTATTTATTTATTTCTCCTTTCTGTAGATACAGATTTCATACAACTGAACACCAAACGAGATCGCAAAAGATACATAGAATTTCACCTTATAGTTACACAATCCATAGAGCAGAACAGTAAACAAGCATCACAATGAGTGATGGTATAGATGTACATAGCTGTAGTAGACTTAGTATACTATACCCCCGCATCTTCGCCCACCACGAGGCGTGTTGCGGGTCACCAATCCAGATTATCATCATCATCATCATCATCGATGGTGACAATGTCCTTGATGCTTGCCTTTTTATCCTTCTTGATTTGTTCCTCTTGAACGTAACCCTAACTCTCTCTTGCATCGCCCACGCTGCGTCTACTTGCCTGATGCTGTCTCAACTGACCCCAGCCTCCTCAGCGGCTTCGACGCTCTCACATGAGCGTGCTCTTTTTCGACTCGATTGCGTTCGTTCGACCTCTGAACACGAATGCGACACTACCAGCACCTACACCGGCCACTACTCCCAGTGGGGCATCAATACTAGGTTCTCGCTACCTACTCAACCCAACTACTGTACCATCCAAGGTTCAGTGTTGCAGCGCACCTTCGCAGGACCACCACCGTTTCTATCTGAGCTGCTGAGATGCATCAAATAAAGAGATTGGGGATAAATTGGCTTGACGTCGCCGACATCGTAAGAGGGAGGCTCATGGTAAGTATTCTCATATTTCTTCTGCACCTGCTCACTCTTCAGGTGACCTAGATGCCTGTTTTCCCTCCTTGCTGTCCCTTGATATGCCCATATACTAGCTTCCCTGAGCCATACCAGTGCACAGGCCCTCCACGCTCCGTGAAGCGATTCTTCACTGCCGCACTCGCCTCCAGAGCTCTCCTGTGGCCATTCACCTCACATGAGGCTCACTTCACCCTCTCACCTCCTGAACCGCATCTTCCTACTACCCAGCCCTGAGACAACCCATGCCATGGATGGATGCCACTCCACTTCGCGAAGCAACACCTTCACCTTCATCTTTGCCTTCACTTCGAGGACTCTTTCATGCCCTGTATGCCTCGTCTAAGGCTCGTACTTTCTCCCTGATACCTACAACCTGTTATGCCACTGCCCTGGCCATTCTAGCCCATTGCCAAGCGCCCTTCTGCCCACAAAGCGACCTCTTCACTGCATTCCCCTGCAGAGCTCCCTCGTGTCCCATCTACCCTGTCTAAAGCTTGTATCTCCAGATGGCAAGATGTCTATACTTGATCATCAGGTTCCCTTACTGCCACCGGGTCTTGCTTGCATCCCTCGGAACACACTACTTAATTATCCTTGCTCCCAAAAGTGGAGGCCCACCAGTCAAGTGTCATGTTCATCTCGAAGTTGCCGGTGATGAGGATGCAAAAATGGACATGATGGATGGTGTTGCCCAGGTAGAGTGGCTCGAGAGGACTAACCATACATGAAAGGAAGATTTGATTAGAGCGCAGGAGAATGTCACGACACATGGACTTGCCTTTATTGACTGTCCATGCAGAGACTGTAAAAGCAAGTCCCATGCTCGTCTGCACGAATGTCGAACACCGTCCTAAGCACATACGTCGTTTGTCACTCTACTTGTTCTCACTCATATTTTACAGAGTGTACCATGAGCTTCGTGCTAGATCCACTTTCGAAAGCTCCGACCTCGCTGTCGCCTTCAAACACTGGTACATGGTCCAACACCACCAAATTCCTTGTCAAACGGAAGATACCTCAATATTCGCTGTAAGTTACATGTTTGGCGAGGAGGGGTATGATGTCATTGAGGTCTTTGGGAAATGTAGCACTAAAGTAGATGTTCGCAAGCATGTGTTGCGAAAATGTGGTATGTCCTTGCCACGCCTATGACCGCCTTTTTACTAATCATTGAGTACACTGTCAAGTGTCAAGATTCAATTTCAGGCTTCAAGACTTCAAGACTCATAGCACGCGTATTCTCAGACAACGACCTTCGCCCTGCCACAACCTATCGATGTCCGACGAGCAAGGACATGGCATCTTGAATGTGGTGCTATTCTATTCTATTTCTGTGGAACTCGGGTGGAGGGTGCACAGGTGCAATGTACGTACTTCTCATGTCGGCGACCACTTTCGTATCTGATTTTTGCATCCAGACTTGGGACGGTCGGATGTACCCCCAGAGCATTCTTGGTGATGATGTTTGTGCTGCTGCAATGCACCGGGGTCTGGCAGGTGTTCTGCTATCGTGAGTAGACGTTTCTGGTTTTAAGTTTCAACTTTCTTCTAAGCTAAGGACCGCCATGTAGGATTGCTGCTGTAAATTTGTTGACAACCAACTAATAATCGACTTAGATCAGGCTAGGATCACCACTCACACTTCGGTGGATGAAACTCTAGCTGGTCAAAGGCGAGGTCAAAGCGGATTGCGGGCACATAGTCACGAAGAACGGAGTTTCGAGTTGGGTAGATTAAACCTTAGCCGAAGCTGGGGTTCAGGCCAGCTGAGGCTCTACTTAAATACAAGTGGATACGCTAATAATAGTACTGTGAGAAATGATCCGTAGGGATCGCATATGGGTAATCAAGCTGAGTAAGACGAAGAAAAATGAATAAATTGTAACATTACCCCCTCTCTAAGACTCGTTCGTCCCGAATGAGTCATCAGACTCCTCTTGTGTGGTCTCATACGACCAGATGTCTGAGGCACGCTCGTCATCGTTCCAATTTTCCATCACCTTTTGAAGGAAATCTATGTCGGACGCGTCTGCCTCTCCTACTATATTAATCTCCTTGGAGTGAGCTACTGCGGAGCATTGGGAGGAGAAAACTGTTTCAACGTCTGTGAGGCAGGGGGTATCCGGTTCATGGTACTTGTAGATGTTATTAGGTGGTATTTTATGATCAATGCCAACCGTCTTTCCTTTATCGTTGACCGTCCACGTAACCTTTTGGATGTGCGCTTCATACTCGTTGACGAGTTCTTCAGCATTAGCCATGTTTGAACGTTTTACCCAGGAGTTTTCCTCCATCGGGTATCCTTTCCACTTCACCAAGTACTCGGTGATGGTTTGGCGGGTTCGTCCACGGCCCACGATTTTATCTCGTTCTGCGACGATCTCCTCAATCTCGTACTCCTCTTCATCTTCGACAAGTTCTGGAGGTG